TAATAAATATAAATAAATTATAAAAGAAAATCAATTTTAATATACATGTATTGAAAAAGAACATACAGCAATACGAATATGTTTACCAATTGGACTTAACTGATACGCCAGTTCCAATTGGAGTATGTTTATATGCCAACTAAACTAAACCTCACCCCATATGCAAAGCTAATTTTTCTTTCATTTTTATTATTTTCTTGCATTATCCTTGCCATTGGTTTCTCCTCTTTGTTCTATTATTTTTTTTGTACATAAAATACAGCCAAAAAATAGTTTTCGGTCGTTGCTTGACATTTGAGACATTGACGCGAACGTCGCTGTCGACGCAGGCAATTCGTGCTGTTTCAAATTTCGCCTAGCAGCAGCAACAACAATTAGACACACACATACACACGTACGGTCATCTATGTACATGCATGCATACAACATACTCACACACACGCACATACACACGCGCGCCGCTGTGCTCATATGCGATACATATTTACACTGCGTCCCTCTGTTTGGTCATTTGCAATTGAACCAATACAACAACAACAACAGCAGCAGCAACAACAACAACACCAAYTGCAACTGCTGACCATACATAGGCGCGCACTCAGCACACGCCCCCGCGCCGCTGCCATAAAAAAAAAATTGTTTTCTTTTCTTTTACTATTTGATTTTTTTCTTTTTTGTTAAAATAAAAAAAAAAAAGTAAAAAGCAAAATGTGAAATTGTGTGTAATCAACATTTATGCGTTTTAACGCCCCCCGCTCAGGCCATTGGGCAGTGGAGGAGGGGTTTGGCTTTGGCCTGACACGCACATGCACACACATAGCTGCACGGCTATACAAACACACACAGAAACACACCCATAGACCCATACATACGTGCACATGTGCAATGCCCAATGGACGCACAAGCAGTCGCACATACAAAAACGAGCCTCGCAACTAAAGCAAGAACAACAACAGCAATGCCGCTGCCATGTGCATGCACTCTCTCGCACACACACACATGTAGATGTACATATATCTATATGTATGTATACGCACACATGGAATCTGCTTTTAGGCTGGGCGACGGCGACTAGTTAGCCAGCGCAAAAACCCAGCCCACTCAACGTACGACTCTCAAACACACACACACACACACACACACACACACAACGCACGCCATGTGAGTGAGCGAGTGCAAGAGTGCAAAGCAACGTGTACAAGAGTGATAGAGAGAGAGAGCGAGAGAGAGAGAGAAAGAGCACGCGCGCATTACATTCGGCTTGCGCTCAGTTGCTGTCTCTGCATGCTGCAACTGCACGCGGCGCTGCTACGCAGCTGTTGGGCGACCTTTATTTGCTCTTGAGTTGCTTTGTGTTTGCTGTTGTTGTTGTTGTTGCTTTTCTTTTATTTTTCTTTGTATGCAGCTGCTTTTACTACTTTTTACTACGGCTCCCCAAAGAGCTCAGCTGATTGCGCTGCTCTTGTTGTTGCTATTCGTTCGCTTTGGCTGTTATTGTCGCTGCCACTGTTGCCGCTGCTGCTGTCGTTGCCACTGCACGCATTTTAGGCGCAGCGTCGCTGCCGGCGTTACAGTGTTCGCACATTTCTATAAATTTTAATGGCTGACAGTTTTCAATATGGCGCAGTTTACATTGCATTTGTTTTTGTTGCTTTCTGTTGCTGTTATTGTTGTTGTTGTTTCTTTTAGCTTCTATCTATGAGGGTGGGTTGCCTTTGCCGTTGTTGTTGTTGTTGCTGCTTTTTGTTGTTAGYTGCAGTTGGACTGAGACTGAGGTTAAGTGGTAGAAAAACTGTTCAAAGTGTAAAATTACATTTTGGTCGCATTACAAGTGGATTTTTGGGCGCTAATACATTGAGGTTATGTTTAAAGTAAAACTTCTCTACTTAGCACTTTCGTTATTTAGCTTAATTAAACACAAATTCAAGGTGAGAAGCGACTGAGTCACTGATCTATAAGAGTTTAAACGAGTTGGATTTTATTGAAATGGGGAAATTGCTGAAATCTAATTGGAAATTTGTATATTATTATATGACCTGGGCTAGTACAGATGGAAATAGTTATATAACAGCATACATAGATATTATATATGCCACATATTTGATATTTTGATCATTTCCATTTCAATGATATATTTCAATATGATATATATTCAATGATAGATACTTTGAGAAAAAATATATGAGCATATTTCTTGAAATTACCTATAAGTCTATGACCAAAGAATTCTCAACTTATACGAGCTCGTGCAGCTGTCATAGTGTAAATTAGATATAGCTAGGCTTCACTGTACTTTATTTGCTCTACAATTTGATTTGATTTAAATTATTTTTTAGATATTTATTCGATAAATGTTGTTCTTTAAATGAAATTTTAATTCATTGTGATGTGAATTAAGTTACGCCTATAAAATATAATCCTAAAATTACTTGGGAAAAAAAAAAAAATTAAAAAACTCTGGAAATATTTCGATATAACTCCATACTTTATAAGCTAACTTTTTGTAGTAAAATCTCATTGAATTCAATATAACCTCACATGTTCGACCATTGAGCGCTACTTAAGTCAACTGAACCCCAATAATCCCACAACAATAATCCTAAGCAATACAGTTCAACATAGCCTCAAAATATATCTAGCTTTATAGAGTTCTTTGAAAACTAACTTTTTGTTACAAAAAAATAAAAATAAAAATA